TTTCATCAATTAAATCTTGACCAGTACCATGATTTCATCAATAAAATCTTGACCAGTACCCTGATTTCATCAATTAAATCTTGACCAGTACCCTGATTTCATCAATTAAATCTTGACCAGTACCATGATTTCATCAATAAAATCTTGACCAGTACCCTGATTTCATCAATTAAATCTTGACCAGTACCCTGATTTCATCAATTAAATCTTGACCAGTACCCTGATTTCATCAATTAAATCTTGACCAGTACCCTGATTTCATCAATTAAATCTTGACCAGTACCCTGATTTCATCAATTAAATCTTGACCAGTACCCTGATTTCATCAATTAAATCTTGACCAGTACCATGATTTCATCAATAAAATCTTGACCAGTACCCTGATTTCATCAATTAAATCTTGACCAGTACCCTGATTTCATCAATTAAATCTTGACCAGTACCCTGATTTCATCAATTAAATCTTGACCAGTACCCTGATTTCATCAATAAAATCTTGACCAGTACCCTGATTTCATCAATTAAATCTTGACCAGTGCCTTGATTTCATCAATTAAATCTTGACCAGTACCCTGATTTCATCAATTAAATGTTGACCAGTACCCTGATTTCATCAATTAAATCTTGACCAGTACCATGATTTCATCAATAAAATCTTGACCAGTACCATGATTTCATCAATAAAATCTTGACCAGTACCCTGATTTCATCAATTAAATCTTGACCAGTACCCTGATTTCATCAATTAAATCTTGACCAGTACCATGATTTCATCAATAAAATCTTGACCAGTACCCTGATTTCATCAATTAAATCTTGACCAGTACCCTGATTTCATCAATTAAATCTTGACCAGTACCCTGATTTCATCAATTAAATCTTGACCAGTACCCTGATTTCATCAATAAAATCTTGACAAGTACCATGATTTCATCAATTAAATCGAGACCAGTACCATGATTTCATCAATAAAATCTTGACCAGTACCATGATTTCATCAATAAAATCTTGACCAGTACCCTGATTTCATCAATTAAATCTTGACCAGTGCCTTGATTTCATCAATTAAATCTTGACCAGTACCCTGATTTCATCAATTAAATCTTGACCAGTACCCTGATTTCATCAATAAAATCTTGACCAGTACCATGATTTCATCAATAAAATCTTGACCAGTACCCTGATTTCATCAATTAAATCTTGACCAGTACCCTGATTTCATCAATTAAATCTTGACCAGTACCCTGATTTCATCAATTAAATCTTGACCAGTACCCTGATTTCATCAATTAAATCTTGACCAGTACCCTGATTTCATCAATTAAATCTTGACCAGTACCATGATTTCATCAATTAAATCTTGACCAGTACCATGATTTCATCAATAAAATCTTGACCAGTACCATGATTTCATCAATTAAATCTTGACCAGTACCATGATTTCATCAATAAAATCTTGACCAGTACCCTGATTTCATCAATTAAATCTTGACCAGTACCCTGATTTCATCAATTAAATCTTGACCAGTACCATGATTTCATCAATTAAATCTTGACCAGTACCATGATTTCATCAGTTAAATCTTGACCAGTACCCTGATTTCATCAATTAAATCTTGACCAGTACCATGATTTCATCAATTAAATCTTGACCAGTACCATGATTTCATCAATTAAATCTTGACCAGTACCCTGATTTCATCAATTAAATCTTGACCAGTACCATGATTTCATCAATTAAATCTTGACCAGTACCATGATTTCATCAATTAAATCTTGACCAGTACCATGATTTCATCAATAAAATCTTTACCAGTACCCTGATTTCATCAATTAAATCTTGACCAGTACCCTGATTTCATCAATTAAATCTTGACCAGTACCATGATTTCATCAATAAAATCTTGACCAGTACCCTGATTTCATCAATTAAATCTTGACCAGTACCCTGATTTCATCAATTAAATCTTGACCAGTACCCTGATTTCATCAATTAAATCTTGACCAGTACCCTGATTTCATCAATAAAATCTTGACCAGTACCCTGATTTCATCAATTAAATCTTGACCAGTACCATGATTTCATCAATAAAATCTTGACCAGTACCCTGATTTCATCAATAAAATCTTGACCAGTACCCTGATTTCATCAATTAAATCTTGACCAGTGCCTTGATTTCATCAATTAAATCTTGACCAGTACCCTGATTTCATCAATTAAATGTTGACCAGTACCCTGATTTCATCAATAAAATCTTGACCAGTACCATGATTTCATCAATAAAATCTTGACCAGTACCATGATTTCATCAATAAAATCTTGACCAGTACCCTGATTTCATCAATTAAATCTTGACCAGTACCCTGATTTCATCAATTAAATCTTGACCAGTACCCTGATTTCATCAATTAAATCTTGACCAGTACCCTGATTTCATCAATAAAATCTTGACAAGTACCATGATTTCATCAATTAAATCGAGACCAGTACCATGATTTCATCAATAAAATCTTGACCAGTACCATGATTTCATCAATAAAATCTTGACCAGTACCCTGATTTCATCAATTAAATCTTGACCAGTGCCTTGATTTCATCAATTAAATCTTGACCAGTACCCTGATTTCATCAATTAAATCTTGACCAGTACCCTGATTTCATCAATAAAATCTTGACCAGTACCATGATTTCATCAATAAAATCTTGACCAGTACCCTGATTTCATCAATTAAATCTTGACCAGTACCCTGATTTCATCAATTAAATCTTGACCAGTACCCTGATTTCATCAATTAAATCTTGACCAGTACCCTGATTTCATCAATTAAATCTTGACCAGTACCCTGATTTCATCAATTAAATCTTGACCAGTACCCTGATTTCATCAATAAAATCTTGACCAGTACCCTGATTTCATCAATTAAATCTTGACCAGTACCATGATTTCATCAATTAAATCTTGACCAGTACCATGATTTCATCAATAAAATCTTGACCAGTACCATGATTTCATCAATTAAATCTTGACCAGTACCATGATTTCATCAATTAAATCTTGACCAGTACCCTGATTTCATCAATTAAATCTTGACCAGTACCCTGATTTCATCAATTAAATCTTGACCAGTACCATGATTTCATCAATTAAATCTTGACCAGTACCATGATTTCATCAGTTAAATCTTGACCAGTACCCTGATTTCATCAATTAAATCTTGACCAGTACCATGATTTCATCAATTAAATCTTGACCAGTACCATGATTTCATCAATTAAATCTTGACCAGTACCCTGATTTCATCAATTAAATCTTGACCAGTACCATGATTTCATCAATTAAATCTTGACCAGTACCATGATTTCATCAATTAAATCTTGACCAGTACCATGATTTCATCAATAAAATCTTTACCAGTACCCTGATTTCATCAATTAAATCTTGACCAGTACCCTGATTTCATCAATTAAATCTTGACCAGTACCATGATTTCATCAATAAAATCTTGACCAGTACCCTGATTTCATCAATTAAATCTTGACCAGTACCCTGATTTCATCAATTAAATCTTGACCAGTACCCTGATTTCATCAATTAAATCTTGACCAGTACCCTGATTTCATCAATAAAATCTTGACCAGTACCCTGATTTCATCAATTAAATCTTGACCAGTACCATGATTTCATCAATAAAATCTTGACCAGTACCCTGATTTTATCAATAAAATCTTGACCAGTACCCTGATTTCATCAATTAAATCTTGACCAGTGCCTTGATTTCATCAATTAAATCTTGACCAGTACCCTGATTTCATCAATTAAATGTTGACCAGTACCCTGATTTCATCAATAAAATCTTGACCAGTACCATGATTTCATCAATAAAATCTTGACCAGTACCATGATTTCATCAATAAAATCTTGACCAGTACCCTGATTTCATCAATTAAATCTTGACCAGTACCCTGATTTCATTAATTAAATCTTGACCAGTACCCTGATTTCATCAATTAAATCTTGACCAGTACCCTGATTTCATCAATTAAATCTTGACCAGTACCCTGATTTCATCAATTAAATCTTGACCAGTACCCTGATTTCATCAATAAAATCTTGACCAGTACCATGATTTCATCAATTAAATCGAGACCAGTACCATGATTTCATCAATAAAATCTTGACCAGTACCATGATTTCATCAATAAAATCTTGACCAGTACCCTGATTTCATCAATTAAATCTTGACCAGTACCCTGATTTCATCAATTAAATCTTGACCAGTACCCTGATTTCATCAATTAAATCTTGACCAGTACCCTGATTTCATCAATAAAATCTTGACCAGTACCCTGATTTCATCAATAAAATCTTGACCAGTACCCTGATTTCATCAATAAAATCTTGACCAGTACCATGGTTTCATCAATAAAATCTTGACCAGTACCATGATTTCATCAATAAAATCTTGACCAGTACCATGATTTCATCAATTAAATCGAGACCAGTACCCTGATCTCAGCAATAAAATGATCACGCTATTCGCACGTTTAAAAACTGCGCGTGTTTGCTCAAACTAAGTCAGGCCTTAATTCTAAGTCGGTGGTTAAGTTAGACAATTCTTACGAATAAGCTTTTATTGAAGACTTACATTATTTAAATATCTTTTTCATACTAAAGAACTGTTAAAATAAGGAATCTGTTCTATTAAGTCCAAGCTAAATTGATGAAATATATGGCCCTAAGCCACTACTGACGTGGTGACCCTCCCTGTGTAGCAGTGAGCTGGCATCAAGCTGCTCCCACACCAGTGGCAGGAGAACTCTGACTAACCGGTCTGCCAGTGCTAACGGCAGCTAAACGTTTGCATAGCATCGTCAATGACCAGAATAAATCCTCGCTGCTGATTGGCTGAAATGGACGAAATGCGCGACACTCATTTTTCCAGCCCGCCGGGGGATCATTTATTGGACTAGTGGAACTTTTTCAGCCGCTCTCTCATCCTTGACTTTCTTCCGGAACTTTGTATGGGGCAAAAACTCTATGTGACATTTACATATGAGATTAAAATAAATCCCAAGCATAAACAGAAGTTGGATAAGTTGTGCAACTTGGTCACGTGGACAGAACGGTACAGTAACTTTTCATCTAGTTGTTTGGCAACTGTTGGTTGGCATGTTCCAAGAATATTTGAGCTGTATTTGTTTCTATGTTGTAAAGATGCACGTTGCTTGCCTCTAGGTATATATGCTGCACACACCACAATTACCTACCCGCCTCTAGGTATATATGCTGCACACACCACAATTACCTACCCGCCTCTAGGTTTGTCAGAAGTTCATCAACTCTATTTTATAATTATATCACTAAACAACACGCGAGCCAGTCTTATATGTATCCCAGTGTAGGCATTATCCTTAACAAACACACACACACACACACATATATATATATATATATATATATATATGTGTGTGTGTATATCTATATATATATGTATATATATATATATATATATATATATATATATATATATATATATATATATATATATATATATATACACACATACATACATACATACTGAATATGCATGCATGCTTTAACAATCTGCATTAGTGTGCAGTGTGGTACCTCGACATACGAGTGCCCATTCCTACCAGATGTTTTTAGCTACGACCCGCCGAGTATGCAATATTTTGCTTTGAACCACGAGTACATTTTGAGATACGGGTAGCATTGGACAGGTATTTTTTAAAGTATTAACTTTGTAGCAATTAAGTGAATGAGATGACAGAAAGAGTTAAGTATTAACTTTGTAGTAATTAAGTGTATTAAAGAAACCGTAAGATTTAGTATTAACTTTTTAGCAATTAAGTGAATTAAGTATATATATATATATATATATATATATATATATATATATATATATATATATATATATATATATATATATATATATATATATATATATATATATATATATATATACATATATATATATATATATATATATATATATATATATATATATATATATATATATATATATATATATACAGTGGCGTAGCGAGGTCGGGTGTCACCCGGTGCGGCACTTAATGGTGTCACCCCCCCCCCCCAGAAGCGTAGCGACCCTTCCCGGGGACAAACTTTCAAACTTTCGATTTGCACCCCCCCCCGTCAAATTTTCGATTTGCACCCCCCCCCCCCTCGAACTTTCGATTTGCACCCCCCCCCCCCCCCAAGTTTTTCTCTACATATTTTGCTATTTATTGCCTTGGTGTCACCCCCCTAAATGGTGTCACCCGGTGCGGTCCGCACCCCCCGCCCCCCCCCCCTCGCTACGCCCCTGTATATATATATATATATATATATATATATATATATATATATATATATATACACTAAATGTATGTATATTTTCCAGACTACATGAACCTTCTGTAACGAAATCTGTTAGTAGCGGGTATTTGATTCCTGACACAGTTGACATTTGTTTCCCCTTCCCAGCTCGCCGTATCTGATTGGACAAGCACTTAACAGCCGGCACTAAGCGGCGTCCGTTTACTGAATTATATATGTCCCCTAGCCCAGCTTTTTTTACAACCATACGTTCCAGATATATCCAAAATACATCCTGAATATCTCACCGATGTCCTAAAAACGTCCTAAATATCTCACCGATGTCCTAAAAAGTCCTAAATATCTCACCGATGTCCTAAAAACGTCCTAAATATCTCACCGATGTCCTAAAATCTACCTAAATATCTCACCGATGTCCTAAACACGTCCTAAATATCTCACCGATGTCCTAAAATCTACCTAATTATTTCACCGATGTCCTAAAACGTCCTAAATATCTCACCGATGTCCTAAAATCTACCTAATTATTTCACCGATGTCCTAAAAACGTCCTAAATATCTTACCGATGTCCTAAAATCTGCCTAATTATTTCACCGATGTCCTAAAAACGTCCTAAATATCTCACCGATGTCCTAAACACGTCCTAAATATCTCACCGATGTCCTAAAATCTACCTAATTATTTCACCGATGTCCTAAAACGTCCTAAATATCTCACCGATGTCCTAAAATCTACCTAATTAATTCACCGATGTCCTAAAAACGTCCTAAATATCTCACCGATGTCCTAAAATCTGCCTAATTATTTCACCGATGTCCTAAAAACGTCCTAAATATCTCACCGATGTCCTAAAATCTACCTAAATATCTCACCGATGTCCTAAAAACGTCCTAAATATCTCACCGATGTCCTAAAATCTGCCTAATTATTTCACCGATGTCCTAAAAACGTCCTAAATATCTCACCGATTCCTAACACATGTTCTTAAAATTATGATGTCATCGCTAAATTTTATTTTATTTAAAAAACAACAACATATTTCTGTGTTTTTTCAAATGACCACAGCCGTTGACTACCTCGAGATTGTCCAACTACTGAAACACATACCTATTACAAGTACAGTTTTAGACTTTTGTTTTATTCTAACACGATACCAATATACTAATTCAATATACCAATTACAAATGGATTTAAAGTTTTCGACGGAGCTATAAAAAACTTGAGTACATTGTGATAATGGAAACAACTTTGTTCGAAAACTCTACATAATATGGTAGGTGCGGTCTAGCTAGTAAATCAAGTTTAGGTTAACGTTTAAGTTAAATTGTGTGTATTTGAGTGACGCCACATTTAGAGAAGTTTGTGTGTATTAATGTGACGCCACATTTAGAGAAGTTTGTGTGTATTTGAGTGACGCCACATTTAGAGAAGTTTGTGTGTATTTGAGTGAGGCCACATTTAGAGAAGTTTGTGTGTATTAATGTGACGCCACATTTAGAGAAGTTTGTGTGTATTTGAGTGACGCCACATTTAGAGAAGTTTGTGTGTATTTGAATGACGCCACATTTAGAGAAGTTTGTGTGTATTTGAGTGAGGCAATATTTAGAGAAGTTTGTGTGTATTTGAGTGACGCCACATTTAGAGAAGTTTGTGTGTATTTGAGTGAGGCAATATTTAGAGAAGTTTGTGTGTATTTGAATGACGCCACATTTAGAGAAGTTTGTGTGTATTTGAGTGAGGCAATATTTAGAGAAGTTTGTGTGTATTTGAGTGACGCCACATTTAGAGAAGTTTGTGTGTATTTGAATGACGCCACATTTAGAGAAGTTTGTGTGTATTTGAATGACGCCACATTTAGAGAAGTTTGTGTGTATTTGAGTGACGCCACATTTAGAGAAGTTTGTGTGTATTTGAATGACGCCACATTTAGAGAAGTTTGTGTGTATTTGAGTAACGCCACATTTAGAGAAGTTTGTGTGTATTTGAGTGAGGCAATATTTAGAGAAGTTTGTGTGTATTTGAGTGACGCCACATTTAGAGAAGTTTGTGTGTATTTGAGTGAGGCAATATTTAGAGAAGTTTGTGTGTATTTGAGTGACGCCACATTTAGAGAAGTTTGTGTGTATTTGAATGACGCCACATTTAGAGAAGTTTGTGTGTATTTGAATGACGCCACATTTAGAGAAGTTTGTGTGTATTTGAGTGACGCCACATTTAGAGAAGTTTGTGTGTATTTGAATGACGCCACATTTAGAGAAGTTTGTGTGTATTTGAGTGAGGCAATATTTAGAGAAGTTTGTGTGTATTTGAATGACGCCACATTTAGAGAAGTTTGTGTGTATTTGAATGACGCCACATTTAGAGAAGTTTGTGTGTATTTGAGTGACGCCACATTTAGAGAAGTTTGTGTGTATTTGAATGACGCCACATTTAGAGAAGTTTGTGTGTATTTGAGTGAGGCAATATTTAGAGAAGTTTGTGTGTATTTGAGTGCCGCCACATTTAGAGAAGTTTGTGTGTATTTGAGTGACGCCACATTTAGAGAAGTTTGTGTGTATTTGAGTGACGCCACATTTAGAGAAGTTTGTGTGTATTTGAATGACGCCACATTTAGAGACGTTTGTGTGTATTTGAGTGACGCCACATTTAGAGAAGTTTGTGTGTATTAATGTGACGCCACATTTAGAGAAGTTTGTGTGTATTTGAGTGAGGCAATATTTAGAGAAGTTTGTGTGTATTTGAGTGACGCCACATTTAGAGAAGTTTGTGTGTATTTGAGTGACGCCACATTTAGAGAAGTTTGTGTGTATTTGAGTGACGCCACATTTAGAGAAGTTTGTGTGTATTTGAGTGAGGCAATATTTAGAGAAGTTTGTGTGTATAAATGTGACGCCACATTTAGAGAAGTTTGTGTGTATTTGAGTGACGCCATATTTAGAGAAGTTTGTGTGTATTTGAGTGACGCCACATTTAGAGAAGTTTGTGTGTATTTGAGTGAGGCAATATTTAGAGAAGTTTGTGTGTATTTGAGTGACGCCACATTTAGAGAAGTTTGTGTGTATTTGAGTGACGCCACATTTAGAGAAGTTTGTGTGTATTTGAGTGACGCCACATTTAGAGAAGTTTGTGTGTATTTGAATGACGCCACATTTAGAGAAGTTTGTGTGTATTTGAGTGACGCCACATTTAGAGAAGTTTGTGTGTATTTGAATGACGCCACATTTAGAGAAGTGTGTGTGTATTTGAGTGAGGCAATATTTAGAGAAGTTTTTGTGTATTAATGTGACGCCACATTTAGAGAAGTTTGTGTGTATTTGAATGACGCCACATTTAGAGAAGTTTGTGTGTATTTGAGTGACGCCACATTTAAAGAAGTTTGTGTGTATTTGAATGACGCCACATTTAGAGAAGCTTGTGTGTATTTGAATGACGCCACATTTAGAGAAGTTTGTGTGTATTTGAATGACGCCACATTTAGAGAAGTTTGTGTGTATTTGAATGACGCCACATTTAGAGAAGTTTGTGTGTATTTGAATGACGCCACATTTAGAGAAGTTTGTGTGTATTTGAGTGACGCCACATTTAAAGAAGTTTGTGTGTATTTGAATGACGCCACATTTAGAGAAGCTTGTGTGTATTTGAATAACGCCACATTTAGAGAAGTTTGTGTGTATTTGAATGACGCCACATTTAGAGAAGTTTGTGTGTATTTGAGTGACGCCACATTTAGAGAAGTTTGTGTGTATTTGAATGACGCCACATTT